TTCTTAACAAAGCTTACAGGTCATTTTTTAAATTAAAAGAATACATATACTGGAATAATCATTTTGTGTCTCAATTAAAAATAACTAAAAAAGTGCTTACATTGAATCTAGATAACATGAAATATGTTAAAATAAATTTCTCAGGAAAAGAAAAATCTTAGTATTCCATCCAGATATTATTAAAGTGCAGATAACTTTAAGACATTGCTATGTTCCTTTTGTATTCCATTCCTTCATAAGTGAAAATAGGTGGCTGTTTAAAATGTCAAATAGCCCTGGCTGGGTAGCTCAGTTGGTTAGTGTTGTTTCCATAGGCAAGGTTGCAGGTTCCATCCTTGGTCAGGGCACATACAAGAATCAACCAATGAATGCATAAATAAGTGGAACAACAAATCAATGTTTCTCTCTCTCCCTCTTTTTCTAAATTTAAAATATAATTAAAAATTAAATGTCATATCTAAGTCACTTATACTTTGGTGATCATTTAGCCTGTTTGGATTGATTACATCCCCTAATATATTCTACATTGTACACTTTTGGGAAGAGAAAGCCTGCCACTATTATACTAAACCATGAAATTGTGTATTTTAAGTATTACATATACTTCCATATTTCGAAGTATGCAAAAATTATGTCCAAGTCAGGAATAAAATGCAGTCATGTCTTAGGCTACCAATATGAAGTCACATGACTGAAAAAAAAAACTTGATCAGAATATATAATTGATGCACACATATACTGGCTCATTAAAGAGCATTTTTATAGGAAAAGAAAAATCTTAGTATTCCATCCAGATATTATTAAAGTGCAGATAACTTTAAGACATTGCTATGTTCCTTTTGTATTCCATTCCTTCATAAGTGAAAATAGGTGGCTGTTTAAAATGTCAAATAGCCCTGGCTGGGTAGCTCAGTTGGTTAGTGTTGTTTCCATAGGCAAGGTTGCAGGTTCCATCCTTGGTCAGGGCACATACAAGAATCAACCAATGAATGCGTAAATAAGTGGAACAACAAATCAATGTTTCTCTCTCTCCCTCTTTTTCTAAATTTAAAATATAATTAAAAATTAAATGTCATATCTAAGTCACTTATACTTTGGTGATCATTTAGCCTGTTTGGATTGATTACATCCCCTAAATATATTCTAATTGTACACTTTTGGGAAGAGAAAGCCTGCCACTATTATACTAAACCATGAAATTGTGTATTTTAAGTATTACATATACTTCCATATTTCTGTATCAAATTTTAATGTAATGTCAATCATCTTCCCTGTTTTAAAAACATTTTAGTTTAGCAGTATATTGTCCAAAAATTAAATATTTGTAAATAGTAAGTGTCCATTAACAAAGGGCATTGAGTAGGACTGAGAGAGGAAAAAAAACACCTAAAATATAAGTGCATTTTAAAAACGTATTATGCTCTAATAAACTTTATTTAGTCAGTACATATGAAACATTGAATGTCTAGCACTGTTCTGAGTACTTTGAGGAGTATACATGCATGCATAAAAGCACACACACACATGCAGAAGAAAGTAAATTAATCCACATGAAACAACTGTAGAACAAAAGATTATCAATTTTGAAATAATGAAATTTAAAAAGTGGAAAAAAGTTTAGTGCAAGTTGCCTAGGATTAGGGACAAGAGGGAGGTGGGTGTGGTTATAAAAGGGCAGCAGAGGGAGGCATCCTTGGGTGATGAAAGAGGTTCGTATCTTGACTATTGTGATGGATACACACAGGATAAAACTGCATAGCACACACACAAACACACTCAAATCAGTCCAAGTCAAACTGGGAGAACCTGAATTAAATCAATGAATTACCCATGTCAACTCCTGGTTGTGATATCATCCCACAGTTTTCAGGTATACAGGATCTTGTACTATTTCTTACAACTACATGTGAATCTACAATTATCTACACTAATAAAAGACAAAGATGCTAATTGACCATACTTTTGCTATGCCAAAGCCACACCCACCAGCCAATCAGAGTGACTATATGCAAATTAACCCAACCAAGATGGCGGCTGGCAGCCACGGAGCTGGAGCAAGCAGGAGGCTTGGTTGCCCCGGCGATGGAGGAAGCCAAGATTCCCGCCTGCCCTGGCTGGCTGTGGCCTCCGCAAAAGGCAACAAAGTTTCAATTATAGAAGCTAAATAAATCCCAGAT